AATGTTGTCTTTCAGAATGATTTTTTTTTTTGCTGTTGCTGGGTTATAATCACAGGCCAAGGTAAATGGTTTCTGGGGTACTGCCTTTGCACTGTACAGAGTTCCCCCCCCCCGCATATAAAATCAAATGTTGGCACACACCAGAGAGCTTTTGACCTGACACCAAAGGAAAATCACTAGTGTGTAGTACACAACTAGTTGGTTAGTTATGTTGAGCTTAAATGAAGAGTTCTGTGTCATTAAAGTAGCTCTCTTTTTATCTGGCCGATTTAGGTTACACTGAAGATTTAACCTGGTTAGAAGCTGGTTATGTGGTAACACTTCCAGAAAAAAATGACATTCATTTTCTAGTGAAAAATACAAATGTCCTATTAAATACATATGAACATGAGTTGCCTGAAAGAGCTTTTGTTTTTGACCTTCATTATCACTGAAAAATCTAAATCTAAATGTTAGCTGTTATCGAGAAACAGATGGGACTTTGTTTAATAAGGAAGCCCAAAAAGCACCAAGCACAGCTTTTACGAAGCCTGGTTTTTATTGGGCTTAGTCACAGCTTGGATATTTTCATACTTATGTGGAGTACATACACTTGCCTGTTCTGTATTTGAAATCTTTGGGAAGTTTTGTTGTGTTGTTTATTGCCTTAAGACATTGTAAACTACACATTTTTTTATGTTATCTTCTTTAGTAAGCACCTTGAGGTTATGTGTAATGAAAGGTTCCTTGTAAATAAAATTGACATTGCTGTCTTCATTCTCCTCCTGTGTTTTCCTTTCTCCCTTCCCATTACTGTACCCACCACCTTCCTCTGCCTCTGTTTGTCCACCAGGCAGCCAAAGGGGGGGGTGTCTCTGAGGAAGATGCTGGGCTCAGAACGCAGTGTTGTCGAAGAATGGCTCTCAGAATTCAAGGTAAAGGCCCTCGATTGCGCTACTCTCATTCATGAGTCATAACTATGAAATCTACTCCTGGAGGCTATTTTTTCTCTCCCTTTTTTTTTTCGAGAGAGGAACTGCGTACTGTGTGTGTAACAGCTGTGGCGAAGAGTGTTGAGAGTAAAAACTGTGCATCTGTCATCTCGTTAACATTTCAGTCCTTTGTAAATTCTAATTAAATGTAGTGAACGCTAGCAAGAACAGTGGCTAGCTTAGGTCAACTCGGGCCTATCATCAGCTGTGTTTAATCAGCATAACCTCTCTGTACTACACAAAATGTACTGTGCATAGTTTGTTCTTTGAACTCACAAGCAAAGTAGCTGCTTATATCTGCGTCATCATGTTTTCACATACATTTTTATTTTCCTTTTTTTTGGATGCATATAAATTATGGGATTATTCAGCTTTCAGTAATCAGTTAGCTTTTATATAAGAACAGTGCAAGAGATGCTGTTCCAGCCTCATGTCCTCATGTTCTTGTAAATGCTAGTAGATACTGAAAGCAATTTCACATACTCATTAATTGTGAAGCGCTAACAATAGTTTTTCTGTGTTTGCGGTTTCTCAATGTATTGCACAGTGCCGCTTGTCATTTCCAGTATAGATTTAAGCTCAGCTGCATTGTCAGCTATTAGTGACAAAAGGCTAATATTATCTCAACAATTGATTTTTTTTTTTTAACAATACAAATAGCAAATCTAAAAGGCTAAAGACTACAATAGCAGGCTAGCAAGCGTCTCATTATTTTTTTCATTCATATTCTTGTAATGAAAAACTAGCTTTAAAAATATCGCAGTGGCATGCAAAATATACACAAATGACCCCACTCAGCAAAATTTGGGTTAAGACAGTTTGGCTAATAGGCAATGCAAATGATTTTTTTGGGGGGGGGTTGCTGGTATTTGTAGTGTTTCAGTTGAAGTAGTTAGTTGAATGTAATTAATTAATAATAAATGTTGCTTCACTCTTGGTGTTCCAGACTAGTTTAAAAAAGTGTTTATGTCACTTTTCTTTCTCATTCTGTGAAGAAGGAATGGGTTCCTTTAAGCACTGTGGTTTGTACAGTGCATTAAACCGTTATGACACGGCCACAAAGTTTCTGTCACCTTAGCAATCATAAATCTGATGCAAAAGTCTGTTCAGCACATTTACAAAACAGAAAAGTGCAAAGGTGATGACGAGCTAAAAAGAAGGAAATAATGTGCAGTACATTAAGAGGAATGGAAAAAGACAGCAGAAAACTAGAGAAAGGAGGAAAGATGAGAATAGAATGGTATGACTCATGGTGGTGCAGACCAGGCACATTGTGTTCTGCCCTCAAAATGATCATACTCTCACGCTGAGAGGCTATAGCTGCCGTCTGTCATCTACAAAACACGATCTTGACCATTTGAAGGATTTCACCCCAGGATGTTCTGAGGATGTCAGACATCATCAATCTGTTAGGTTCAGAGTTATTTTATCAAAAAGCTATGCTTTCCTAAAAGTTTTCTTTTCTTACTTCACCTACCACATTGTCAAACTCATCGACTGGGGAAGTCAATCTTTTCAAGTCTTTTTTTGATGCTTCCATTTTTAATCAAGGGACTTCTTACATGTCACAGCATGCTGACACACAGCTAAGTCACTGTGTGCTGTGAAACAATTGAATACAGGATGTAGAATTACACACAGTCTTTACTTGTTCTCTAGTTTTGTGGCTAGACGTACAAGTTGTTTGCATCACTCAATAGTCCTCTGTGTCTCCTTGCTTTAGTCCTTACCAGAAACCCACATCCCCAGCTACGCCGGCAGCCTTCATCTAAAGAAGTCCTTGGTCCCAGCTCTCTACAGAGTCATCCAGGACCCCAACAACGAGGTAATACACGGAGGACGCGCACATGCAGACGGATGGTTTTTAGCTCAAGGAAATGTGCTGCTTGTGAGTCATGATGTTGTTTCTGTTGGCACTGAGCAAAAAAACTTGACACACAGCCGTGTCTGCAGGGCGTACATGCACACCACAACACACTCTGCTGTTGTGTATGATGGAAGGCACAATGGCGGTGCCGTCTGCGTTGCCTGTGAGACGGTACACTGTGTTCCCTGTATGCACACACATGCAGTGCTTTGCTTAACAAACTAAAGCGTCCGCAGCCAAAGCTGGAAAAGACACAGTCACCGCAGTGCCCAAGCACCTCAATATCTTTTTCTTACTAAGCAGATGTTTCTTGCACCTGCACAGCTAGACCGGTGTTTTGTACTTTAAAGGGACCTAATGACACAGTTTCTAAGCAAAGGCCTGAGGTACTCAATGAGAGAGGACTTTAATTTGGCTCTAATGACACACTTGGTGCCTCCAGTTCTTTCTGGCCCCGTTTTCACCTCGATTTCACGGTCGAATTTGAGTGTCAAGCAACTAGGGATCTAACTTCCATTAGTGCTGTCAGTCTGGCTGCACAATCCCATTAATGATGACACAAGTGATTGAGGAGTGCATGCATGTCTGTGTGTGAGAGATAAAGTAGGGGAGAGTGTAATGTGCTTGAATTTTGCATGTTTTTTTGTTGCTGTTGTTTTTTGTTGTCAAGCTGAGGACATGAAGGGCAAATGCCTTGCCAAGTTCTTTGCCGCCTTTTTCCCCAGTCAGCCATGTACAACACACTTACACAGTCGTGCTGTGTGGGCATTCACTCACACTGACCCCTGGACTGTATAAACGCTGTGGCTCAGCTGGCCTCCCCTGACACTACATCTGCCGAGGCTTTCGTTGTAGTGAATTATCCCCTCTGCTTCTATGCATCTCGCACTATCAACTGGAAGCGAGACGCTCCCTCCATCTGTCCATTCTGTCGTGTTACGTTTACAATGGCGTTCGTTCATGTTTTGAAACGAGAGCTATGTGAGTCCATTTCTGCAGGCTATTAAAAAGGCTGCTGCTGAGGCTAATGGGAAGTAATAGTTTATAGCAGTTTATAGCAGTCATCCTGAACCTATTGTTCTTTAATATTAACCTAGACATACATTTCCATGAATTTAATTATCTTAAAGTGGACCTATTATGCTCATTTTTAACTCTATAGGTCTTTATATCTTATACCAGGCATTGGTGCATCCCAGCAGTTCATTCTTTCTCTGAAACGAGCTGTTTTAGCTCCTCTTCCTTTAAAGCCACCCTCCCTTGAAGCTAGCTTTTATCTTACTGGCTGTTCCTCGCAGACAGAAGGTTTGAACAGCAGGTGGAGAAGGATACTGTCTCTCATCAGCATTATACGGAGCCAGTGGAAGAAACTACCTCATTGATGAAACTTGGCTATGCTTAATATGAGCATCCAGGAGCTTAAAAATACACCCCCGTATAACAAAAATAAAGAGGACCATTTTAGATGTTCTATAAACTGTTTTTGTTTTGTGTTAACGGTATTAATGACAGCTTTTATTGGTTTTTGTGATATTGGGGTTAAATATAAATGGATTAAACATTTTATATACAGAAAAATACAGTTCAGTTTCCATATTTAGTTTTGTTTACTGCCTTATTGGGAGAGCCTAACAAGCACGGTGTAAATTCCAGTAAGGTGTCAGATCTCGTGTTAATTTGTTAATTTGCATTTTCTTGTTTCCATCTGTGATCCAGCTCTTGGAGCCTGTGTGCCACCAGCTGTTCGAGCTGTACCGGAGCGCCGAAGACCGCTTGCGACGCTTCACCCTGCAGTTCCTGCCCGAGCTGGTGTGGGTTTATCTGCGCATCACTGCCAGCAGGGATCGTCAGAGCAATGGCTGCATCGAGGCCCTGCTTCTGGGCATTTATAACTTGGTAGGTGTTCACCTTTCTGGGTCTGGTTACAGTAGCATGACCCAACTCATACAAAAAAAAAAAAATTAAACACCCTATCAAATAAGTATCATTCGCTTCTTAGTGTTGGACAATAGAGCATGCCCTTTACACGGATTATGTGCAAAATTTAGTATGAGGTGTTACAGACACACTGACTGTGACAATTTACTTCATAAAGTATGACGTCAGGTGCAGGGACTCTGCTCTGAAACAGTCTCTGACAGTAGCAGAGACAGGGACTGGCTACTGGCTGAGCCTTAAACGCGACCTTGTGGATAACCAGGTCCACTATAAAGTGTTGCAGTGCATACCAGTAGAGTTCCTGCAATCAGCCGTGAAGTAACTTGAACAGAGATTTCAGTTATTTTGTTTTTAGCAGGCAATGCTAATATCTTTGTTTTGTTTCATTTGTTTAAGGCTCATTTGCAAATTGTTAAAAGTTAAATACAGTTTAGCCTTAAAGGACTTTTTTAAAAAACCGAAATGTTGAAATGCTCCCTGGATCATTAATTCAACAAATCCATGTAGTATCCCGACAGTAAAAACAAACAAGCAACGACTATTCAAATCTTCACAGTGAACTGCCAAATGTGATTTGACTGTCAAAATTCAGAATCAGGGACAGACTCATTCTGAAATATGGAGCAAGGGTGGCTGCAGTGTCCAGTTTCACAATGTTAAACCCTTCACATGATCTGTCAACTGCTTACCCTGCAAACATAACCAGTATCTTCTGTTTGCTGCTGAGCTTTTTTTCCTCCTCAGTTTTGAGTACTGCTTATTAGGTGTCCTGGTTCTAGTTTGACGACTGCTCTTACAACATCATCATCCATAAAGGGATATCTCTGCCAAAGCTAAAGCTTCCCCACCATGCCAAGCATGAATCTGATTGTAATAGTTTGTAGTTGTGAGAACATCAACACTTTGTCTCACAGTAGTCAAAAGTTGATTGATCCAGACTTAAGGTTTCAAGTAATCCTCCTAACCCATAACCTCGTTGGCAGAAGTTAATTTGTGAGGTGTGACTAGACTGCTATAGGGTTATATGGATGAATATAGGTTGTTGCATTATTTTGAGCTTTTACAATTCTTAAGATGCATTTAAATGGATAAAGTGTAAAGTAAAGTAAAGTGTGCATGTTAGTCCCCATAGGGAAATAGTTCCTCTGCATTTAACCCATTCACCCAGTGAAACAGTGGGCAGCCACCAGTGCAGCGCCCGAGGAGCAGTGTGTAGGGACGGTACCTTGCTCAGGGGTACCTCAGGGTAGCCGTTCAGTGGAGTCGAACCCCCGACCTTCCGATCATGGGGCCACCACTCTACCTACTGAGCTATCCCTGGATAAGAATGTGGGAAAGTGCATTTTTTAAATGGAAATCACAGGTGCTTTAGATCTAATACAAGTGAAACATTGTTAAGGTTGAACGTCTGTTGACTTGAAAGACGACCTACAGGGAAAACCCTGGATAATGGGACGAGCGCAGATAGATTGCATCACCAGGAAACACCCCTGGGGAAATGTGCTAAGAGCTTGAGATATCAATAGAAAGAGCTCCATGACAGCCAGCAGAGCTAAGGGTATATCCATGCATAATTCATCCCTCAGTCTATACCACTCACCCTACACACACACGCATAGGTACATACTGCTCGTGCTCATTGACATCTTGCCTGTCTTCAGCGATGACTTCTCCTTGATAAACAGCCTTGCTTTCAGCAGTCGCCGCAGATATTCAGAGATGTACTGTTACCCAGTGAAGGGCACACCAAGGCATGAATCAACAACAAATTCAAGGAGAAGTGCAGATAAGAAAGATTGTCTGAAAAACCAGAAAAGCTCACCACTTTGATTAGTGTAAGGGGGATGGGGCGAGAGATCAAACTGAAACAAGAAAAGTTGTCTCGACTTTACTCATTCTGTTAACAGTGTCCGTCATGCTCACATGTAATAGCCACTTGAGTCCTATTGAGCTGCTCATAATTGAATTTCAGGGTAAATCTGGGAAATGAGAAAGTTTCACAAATGTTCTCATGTACATCCGTAAATGTTTATTTTTTCCTCTTTTTAATATATATCAGGAACACAGATAATCAGGTCTTACTTGTAGAAATGGCATCATTCTCAGGGAAGTGTTAATCTTTGTGTAACCTATCGCAGTGTGAAATTGGAATTGAGTGGCACCGGTTCTGGCAGTGACATTTAATCTGCCAGCAGAATAGACGAACACCAGGCTTAACCGCGTGCGTGATAGGCAGTTCTACAACAGTACTGATAAATGTTTGCACCTTAACCACCACAGAGGGAAAAAAATCACATTTACAAGCTTAATATACACTCATCAGCCTCTTCTTTAAGTACACATGTTCAGTTGCTTACAAATATCTAATCAGCCAATCACATGGCAGCGTTTGGGCATGTAGAAATGATGAAGATGACCTGCTTAAATCACATTGTTCCAGGATGTGGAACAATGTGATTTAAGTGACTCTGAATGTGACACTTTTGGCGTTTTGGATGTCATACGGCTGGTCTGAGTATTGCAGAAACAGCTGGGATTTTCCCAACCAACCATCTCTAGTGTTTACATGCTCAGAAAAAGAGAAACTATGCAGTGACCGGCATTGTAGGTTGCTTCAGAATGACATGAAAGCAACACAAACTCAACGGACTGAGGCTACAATTCACCAGAACTGGACAATAGAAGACTGGAAAAATGTTGCCAGGTCTGATAAGTCTTGATTTCTGCTGCAACATTCAGACTGTAGGGCCAGAGTTTAGAGTAAACAACATGAAAAGCAGGGATCCACCTGTCTTGTATTAAGGCTGCTGCTGGTGTAATAGAGTGGAAGATATTTTTTGGCACAGTTTGGACCTTGTTGGCTTTCCTGACATTGTCCATCTCTTTATGACCACAGTGTACCCATCTTCTGATGGCTGCTTCCAGCAGGATACTGCACTATGCCACAAAGATCAAGCTATTTCTAACTGTGTACAAGGCTATTCTTAGTGGTTTTCAAATTTTATTTGCTATACCTAATTCTGTAGCTGATTTCAAAAAAAAAAAAAAAAAAAGGTTGTGGATGTCCCACAGAGCAGGCCCACCTCACAGTTTCAGAATCATTGTTTCAAATGCAAACCTGCATTTCTTCAGTAACACACCTTCTCTGTTTCTTTGGGTTTGCAGGAAATCGTGGACAAAGATGGCAACAGCAAGCTCCTTTCCTTCACTATTCCATCTCTCTCCAAACCATCGATATATCATGAGGTAAGCCTCTCTTCACTGCAACTCTGCAACTTGCAGAAGGACTTACTTAAATGGCTATTTAGAAGGTGGCAGCTCAACATCCCAGCACTGCAGGTCTTTTTTTCATTAACATCACCTTGAGGAGTTAGCTGTCTGTATGTGTTAGTCCCTCTCTGCCAGATCTGTGTCTTTCAAAAATCTAATAAGAAAAGATTTAACAATTTATGCACTTGTCGATTTCTTTGATTTTAAAATGAGAGCATTTTAACTTTCATTCATTTTGTGTTTGAGTCGCTTTTGGTCGCTGTCACCGTCACGCTGGCTTCGTGCAAACGCTGACCTGTCTGCTACAACAGGCACAGTATTGACTGTTGCTTTGACCTGGAATTCCATTACCAAGAGGTTTTAAAGGACATACCGACTGTTTACTGGCAGCTCATAGCCAGATTTGAGAGCCTTTTTTACTCCTCATAGCACAGAGTGACAGCCCTCAGTAGGTGCTTGTCTCTGAGTTGTGCGTGTGAGTGTTGATGAGACTTGAGTGTGTAGCATGTGCTGAGGGCGATTTATTGCTGTAATTATAAGCTTGAAAGGCTCTATCCTCCATGCTGAGAGAGTGAAGAAAGCATGGAGG